TCTAGAATCAAGTTGCAGGAATGATAAAGCAATGAGAAACAAGAGAAGCTGCACTGGGAGCAAGTGGTAAGTTGTGAAAGCTGTCATCATGCTCAGTGCCAAGACTAAATGAAAGGGGCACTACAACAGTTTTACTCATAAAGATCCATCTATTGATCACGAGGAATAATATTCAGCCTGTGAAAACAGTTGTTTTCTGTGTCTCTGGAGGGAGCTTTTTAATCATGTATTCACATTATCACAGAAAAACATCTTTTCTCCTCCACTGTTGTGTATGTGAATAGCTGTGATGGAGCCTGTGCTGATGTCCGTGGTGGCGGAGCTGAGCTTGGATATGCCGATAGTTCAGATTTGTTGAACTTTGACCTGAGCTGTGCTGGAGGTGAGTGTTTTTAAATGTTACTATACTATAACAAATTATGGCCAAATTGAACAAAGTGAAAACATTGTCTGGCTGAAATATCGTGATATATTGTGGTGGCCATGAAATGTTTATCCTGTAGTCAGTAGGTTACCCAGTAACCCAGTGTTTTTGGAGCTTGACACATAGTATGAAGTAAAATTGAGAATATCTCCTGAGCTGATTTTGACAATTCTTTTAAAAATATCTCTCTTGCAAGTCCCCCAAACTTTATGGAAATGCAATACTAAACCACTGGAGCAGCAATTTAATGAGATGACTTATACCTCATTAATGGATGGGCTGCTGTGCAGGTTTTGTTTTCTACTTCTGGTTTGTTTCAAGTACCTCTTTTGCCTTCAAGCTAATCTGAAGTGCAAAGAAACTGAAACTTGTGGGTATTTAATTTAGCAGGAGTTCAAAGGAGGATGGTCAACTGAGGCAGAGCAAGGGCTTGGAAATGCTGACTCGGCTCCTGTCGCTTAATCTATTTGAGGCGTGATTAAAGTTTAATTCGTGCCCATCTCCTAATGCTAGCCGGTGTGTGTGTTCCTCAGCAGTGGGTCGGTGAGTAGTTTCGAGCTGAGCCCAGGTCTTTTCTCTCTGGCTGGGCCTCACTTTATTCATGCCTGAGGGACGCCAGGAGCTGCAAACAACTGAATTTTTCATCAAGGTTACTTCCTGGAGAGATGTGCCATGCAGCTGCTGCTCGCTCCCTCGGTGTGTTCCTAGCTCATACATAACTTACCCTGCTCTGACCTGCTGCTCTCTCTGGGAGGACTTGTTTGACCCAGGTCCAGATATGAGAACGTGTGCCGTGCAGTCAGCATGAGTTTGTTATGAAGCTTGAAATATTGAGGTTTGCGTTACATGGTTTTGGTTACACTTTATTTTAAACCCTGTGTTTATAAGCAGTTTATTAACAATTAATAAATGATTTATAACGCAATAATGTAGGTATCAGCAGCTAACATAATGACATTTGTAAAGTGTTTATTAATGGATTTTTAGCTATAATTCTTAAAACACGAATAAACAGTTCTTGATTACATAACATAGTTGTAGCACAGTGAGGATTTGTTTGTGCGTAATGTGTGCAGCTACATTTTACAGTGAATTATACACTAAATATATAATTAAACATTTATTAACAGTTTACATATCTGTTAGATGAGGAATTAAAATAGTTGACAAATACATTACATGCTTAAAATGTCCTTATATTTGCTTACAACTACATAAAAGTGCGTATTAGAGTGTTATAACCCATTTTTCAAATGTTTATATACTGCTTATAAAAGAATCTTTGTTTTTATTTCCACCAACACCATCCAGACTCTTTGCATGAGACCTCACATTGCTTCAGTTTAGATGATTCAAAAAACCTGCCATTTTCCAGTCACGAATGCATTATATACTTTGGTACATTCTGTCTTCTTCCATATTAATCAGAGCAGCCTCACTGGATAATGGTAAACACAACACAACTCAACAAACTCAACTAGTTCACATTTCTGTTGGGAATACCGACATGTTTGGCATTAACATTTTAAGTCTCTGAAAAACAACTCTGCAACTTCTGGAGAAAACATCTACTATTTATAAGAATATTTTTACATCAAAATTCATTTGCAATTATAATCAAATCCCATTTATTCTTTTTTGTGGGATTATTAATGCTGCAACAACACATTTGGTTTAAAATGAGGGAAAATGCGATGTCAGATGATTTTTTTCCCCTTTCATTAAGGCTGAAAATGCTGCTTTTCTTCTGAAATACAGCAACCAGAGCCATAAATAAGGTCTTATTTATTCTATTCAGAGTTTACATTCCAAAAAACATCCACACAATAAGGTCATTTTCGTCTGTTGGTTTACTGTGGAACTTAGAGCAAAAAGAATGAGCTCTTTAGATCATATTTCACAGTAATCAATGCAACCTTAATTATCAAATCAGACTAAGAAGACTGATGTGTGGGAGCTATAGATCGGGATTTGAAGAGCCAACCTCACACCAGAGTGTGGTTTAATATTCACTGTATTGGTGACGAACAATTAGGTGAAAAAATAATAAAAACTTGGTATTTGTCATATCCACTGATGACTGCCGTGAAGTATGTTTACAGCTGAACCACAACCTTCTCTGTCAGGTCTACAACACAAAGGTAATCCTCCATCATTATGACCCTGTTAAATAGGGAATAAAATAAAGCAGGATGGCCGTTGGACTGCAGACTTTCATTTCAGGGCTGTGCTGTGCAGTCTTGCAGCTCCTGAGTGTCAGACATTATCACCGCCACTACCCTCAACCTCACCCTGCCCCTTGTGACAATTACTGCCCTACCTCCCTATTCAGCACGTAATGAGAAAACTGACTGATCGATTTCTGTCCGGCCAGTAAAAGAAGGGAAGGAAGCATTTGGATATAGTGCAGACCAGACTCAGAGGCACAGAACTGCAGCATATCCATAATGATGTTTAGATTTTTTAAGTGTTGAGTGTTAATGGGAGAGGATGTTGTGATTATAGCAATTAGAGCTGCAACTAACAATTATTTTCATTACCGATAAATCTGCGGATAATTTTTTCAGTCAACTGATTAATCATTTGGTCTAAAGAATATCAGAAAAAAATTAACAAAAATACACGTCTCAAAGCCCAAGTGATTGCTTGTTTTGACTGACCAATAATCAGTCCCTTGAAAGAATTTAAAAAACCTGCGAACATTCAAATTTGAGCTGCTGGCACTGGTGATAAAGAATTGACTACAGATTTTCCCTCCTATAGCACTGTATAGACTAATGATGGACCATTAAATAAGCATCAAAGCCAATGCAGCAGAACCTACTGTGTTTTTTATTCTAATTTCTTGTCAATACCTGGTGCCTACATTACCCACAATGCAACTCAACCTGCAACAGTTTGGAGATTCTGGTATGTTATGCTAGTAGCCGTTAATGTAGCCTCGAGTTGCTAGCCTCAAGCAGAGATTAGCAGTGGTCTACAGAGGTCTGGTAAACACACTTCTTTCTAACTCCACACCCCCATATTTTTAGCTGGTCGGTAACAGCGGGGCCTAATAATCGCGAATGCCCACGACTGACTTACTGACTGACTGAGTGATAGAGTTGAGTGATCATAGTTCCACCATCGGTCAGCTGAATGCCACGTGACTGAGTTGGAGTTTCCCCATTGGCTGTTGCTCTTTCAAAATTAATTGGCATAAACAGCTTCTATTAGAGGGACATTTACAGAAGTGTTGCCAATTTTGTCACTAGATTTAGAGAGTTTTTTTCAAAAGCGCACCGAGCAACAAATCAAGGGACTTTTTGGACAAACCTTGGCTACAGACAAAATAAGAATGGTATTGTGTCACTTCTCTCTAATTGAGCATTTTACAAGTAAATATAGCCGACATGAAATCACAGCCCAGCTGTAGTCTTTAACTTATGCGAATGGTGATTTTGTCAGATGGCATTGTGGTTATAAAATCAGGATTTTAACAGTGCAGAGAAGAAGCTTGGAAATGGCTTGGAAGTTAACATGTAGTCTTAATGGGCCATGTTTCAATCACTATTTCATACTTGTTCCGTTGTCTGACAACATAAACAGAAAAAACATCTGACGGCTGACACTAGGCAGAATGCAAATACAAATACAAATATGACATGATTTCAACTGTCCTCAATTTCACACATTGACCATATGTGGTCCAGCTATACCAGGTTTTGACCTGATCTAGTTTTTCATTTTCAAACTTGTAGTCTTCAAACCCAATCAACGCCGACTCAAGTGACATCACTTGAGGAAATTAGTCAGATTTCACACAACTCCCTCTGGAGCTACAAAAGGCTTTATATGTTTTCACATATGCAGTAGTACTCCCTCCCCAAGACCTGAAAACATGTAGATAATGGTTTGTTGGTGGACTTCCCCTTTAATTAATCAAGTAGTCTCGACTAGCTCTATTACCAAATTACAAATCAAATTACAAATACTGCATGTTCGATGCCAACTGTGTCAGGATGTTTTAATACAAGGCTGGTTTACATTTATGACAACTGTTGTGGTCCTGTGTTACAACATAAGGCTTGTAAAAAAAAAAAAAGAAAGAGCTTCCCACAAAGTGCTGCCAGTTCTACTAAATTCATCTTGATTTATTTATTCCTTTGACTGATTGCATGAATGTAAATATTCAGCAGGAAAATATATAGTCTGGGTGACAGAGTGTCTTTTCCAAGCGCCACCATGCTGTCCTGTAGGGTCAGAGCTCCACTGCCACTCACAATTATTTATTAGGCTACATATTCACTCTCTATCCATCACTGTATCGCCACCCGGCCCGGTCACATCTCTTTATGTTTATTACAGTGTCCCACCTTCCCGAGGAGGATGATTGACGTTTTCGGAGAGGACCGAGGTGGGACTTGCGCGCTCCTTCTTCTCCAATCGTGGCTCGAGGGGCGGAGGCTTTTCATCCATACTCTGATTATGAGTCAGTTACCAGACATAAGCGAAACAATAACAGTTGGTGGTTACTTTATATCCAAAACCTTCACTGGCAAGTTGAGTCTTAAGCGCGTTTTGGCGCATCAAGCTGTCGACTACATCGGAGGTTTCATAAGAGGAGCACAACGCGCTCCACTTTTAATCAGATTAGGAGCCTTTAATGTTCAATCCTGTTTTTTTTTCTTCCCTACAGTAGCGGTGCAGGAGTGGCCAAAGCCAAAAGCAGCGATTCAGATCAGATTTCACCTAAACCAGCTGGGAGAGAGACCGAGAGAGAGAAAGCAGAGAGAGGGTTTGTCAGTCTCCCTCCTCCCAAATACAGAAAAGCTTACCAAGGAAAAAGGAGGAGTGTCGGGGCTGAGAGAGACGCAGAGGAATCCAGAGGAATTTCTGAGGATATTTTCTCTTCTTTTTTTCCCCTCCTCTTGATATTAAAATTTAAAAAAAGTTGGAGGCGAGGCAGCAGGGACCGTGGTCAAGGATGGACGAGCAGCCTCGGTTGATGCACTCCCACGGGGTAGGCATGGCCGGACACCCCGGCCTGGCGCAGCATATGCAGGATGGCACGGCGGGGACGGACGGAGAGGGAAGAAAGCAGGACATCGGAGACATATTACAGCAAATAATGACCATCACAGACCAAAGCTTAGACGAAGCACAGGCCAGGTGAGGCTACGCAAAAAAACCCACTTGTATTATTAATCGAAGAGAGGAAATATCAAGCAATGTTGTTAGGGATGGAGAGGGGAGATAATAACATTGTGGTTTGTGTCAAGACTGCCTCTAAACGAAAGCAATTACGCCCACTGAAGTGCCGTGACTGCGCGAAAGCGAAAAAAAAGACCTTAGAAACTTGTCACGATTCAGATTTTATTATTTTAAACAACTTTTGTGTTAATATTTTTAATCAAAACCATTAATTATTGCATGATTGATGGAGATTGAGATCATCTGTGTAGAGGGTTTTTAACTATGGAGCAGTTGCACCTCAGTTTCACTGAGACTCTTCTACCTTCTTACAGAGGAGCTTACATTGTAATCCCGTGCTATAAGAACATGTTGCAGATCATTTCCTATAGTTTTAACCCAGTGCACTATTAACAGTGACCCAAAATATGATGCAAAGAACATTTGAGGCATGTTACAGTTGTAGTTTAGCCAGGTGGATTTTGTTGCATGTTATATTGTAAGGAAAGTCTTGGTTTGAAAGTCTCACGTTGTGTATGAATGAGACAAAAATAATTAAAGTTAAAAACTATGGATTCAGTCTAAACATTATAAACAAATTTCTATGCATTGGCTCCTGATTGTTGTACTTATTAGCCGGCTACTGACAGTAGAAACAGCAGGGAAATCTGGGGAAAATTGAATGTTCATGAAGATATTTGGTGGTTTCAGAATACACCATTCTTTTAAGTAGCTTTATCACTGTTACCACTTGTTTGAATATTGATCTGGAAAGCTGTGTCCTATCCTCTTTTTAGGAAACATGCACTGAATTGCCACAGAATGAAACCTGCTCTCTTCAATGTCTTGTGTGAAATAAAGGAGAAAACAGGTAAGTTATGTTTTATAATTTCTTTTGTTTGCTGGATTTTTTTTTTTCTGTTTGCTTGCACATAGTACTGGGACTGATGAGAGTATTCAAAATCTGTCTTTGACAATAGATGGATTTTTAGGAAAACCTGGATTTAATTGTACAAAGCCAAAACAGGTCATGGCCATCTAGACATTCATCTCCTAAGCCACTGTAAATATCTTATTTCTTTCTATGAGTTACGGCACGTTTTCCCAGACAAATGTCACACAGCATGCATGTGAACAGCTCTGGCCCCAGAAGAGGTGCTGTCATTGGACAGGAGTGCTTTCATGTCGACATTTGGGCCTTTCTGGGGCTGGGCTTTCTCCCCCCTCTCTTGTCTGTTTTCCTTGGCCGAGTTCGGCAGTGTTTGCTAAGTGAGCTGTTTTACATGCAGAGGCAGGTCAGAGGGATTTTCTGTTTATGTTTGCAACGAGGGTCAAAGTCATGAAAAGGAATGTGTGAATTATTACTCACTTAACAGCAGATTAAAAGAAGAGCAGCTCACATGATGAAAGCCTGTGGATATTCTCTGAGGGATGTGACAGAGCACTGCTTTTCAAGGCAGGAAATAAAACAAAATATCCAATATAACCTTATCTGTGAACACAACTTTGAAGCAGTCGCTGAGAGTATTGAGAGAGCCTTGTCACTTTGTCTCGTGGTGTTGTTGCATTGCAGTCATGTAGACAGTTGAAAATAAACACAAGGCTTGTATAGAGGGGATACCATTTCCCTTAATTTAACACAAACTGTTATCCACTGACATTTCATTCTTGTGAGTCAGAATTGGCACAGGTTTCCCAACCCCCCCCCCACCCCCCCAAAAAAAGTAGACTGAACAAGCAGACACTTTGGGATTTTCACCAGATTTATAAAGGTTAAAGAGTGCAGTCTGTGAGGAGGAAGCTATAGTAGGTTGGGGCCCTGTTTCTAAATTGCAAGGCTTGGAAAGTGAAAAGTGAGAGAGTAATGCCTGGCTCTTTGTAAACTGTCTGGCGTCTCCCCGGGTTCAACCAGAGTTCGTTTCCAAAAAGAAGAACAAAGTGACTTGGACCTTTTCCTGGCTTTTCCCCCTGCCTCTCCTCTCTTCCCACCGTTCTTGGCAACCGGGGTTTCACAGAGCTTCTGATGAGAGAGGCTCCCCTCAGCCTGCAAATTCTCTCCCCCTCCGTTTAGGACCAAGTTTGGAAATGAACATATTTCAACCTAGTTTATGTTTTCTCCTATTTCATGTATTGAATCAGTTATTTTCACTCCAAGTGTAGCTGAGAAAACATGCTCCAAACCACAAATCAGCAACAAACAAATAGCTACATTGTTTTTGTGAAGACAGAAAAGCATTTAAAAGTTAAGAATAACCCAAACAATTTGTGAGAGAACCACGACTTAATGGCTGCCTCGCTGTGTCCTCCCTGTCTACGTTTGAAGAGCTGAGCTGCGGTTCATCTTCGCCCATAGGAGGTTTGTGCAGACGAAACTGAAAATCCTTTCACTGCAGTGACAGAGAAAATGACTCAAAGCTTCACCATGGCATTTACAGCCAAATGTGCTGAGTGCAGTGTATGCGAGCAGAGTACAGCCTGTAATTTGTCAGGTCTTTTTTATATTCTTTATAAAGAGTCAGCTTCTCCTTGCTTTTTTACATTGTTGCAGTCAGAGTGTCTTTGGGAAGAAGTGCAAGCCGGAGGAGATGAGTACAGCTGTTCAGAGTTGAAGCAGCCCCTTCTCCTCGACCTTTTACTAAAGAGAGGAAACATTTCTTTCGATCATATATCATTTGTTGCATGTAGTTATTCACATGCGGGTTGCATGTATCTCCCCTTCGTGGTATATCAGTGGTGTGTGAGTGTTGACAGCAGCAATATGGGACATTGCAGCAGTGAGGTGTCCATTGGCAAGCAGCTGACAAACAAGGCGGGAGCGCATGCCAATAGAGGATAGAGCAGAAGTTAACTGATGACCCCACCCCACCCCACTCCCTGTATATTTGCGCCGGGGTCGGGCCTGTGTCACGGGCAGGAGAGTATTTAGCAAGCTTAAACAAGCTCAGGTTCGCACGCCGGCTTATGGAAAACCAGTGACAGAGGCTTGTGTTACCACTTACAGACGTTCCTTTTGGCTGCCAGTGTTGCATTTCACAAAAACGTTTGCCCTGTCCACCGGCCCCTCGTGACTTTTTTTTTTAAAACTATCATCATTGTTTCTACAGTTCCTGAGAGCACTTAGAATTTGTTTTCCTGTGCTTGCTTCACATCCTGTGAAGAGAGTTGGACAGCGTCTTTGTTTGTGTGGAACCATTACGGCGAGGGAAGCTGGCACGTACAGGTTGACTAAGTAAGAGAAGCCAGACACCAAGTCAGTGTTTCTGGGTGTCAGATTTCAGGCCTACTCTCCTCTCTCTTCCTCTCTCTCTCTCTCTCTCTCTCTCACACTCTGTGTCTCTCTATCTGGGGGCCTGGGACTGTTTCGTCAGGCCACTCTGTGTCAACAGCCTCACATTACCCCCATGCAGGCTCGGGTTAGATGGAGAGCTCCTGCATGACTAATGTGATCAGACGGATAATGCATTACACCGCTTGAACTTATCAAAGCTGGAGACTTGCTGAATCAGTTGGTCCCGCTAACTGTGCAACCCCCCCCCCTGCAAAGCCTGTGCTGCTAATTAGACATGTACACATATTTTACATATTAACAGTTGTGATCTGGTCACTTTCAAGGTTCCTGTCAGGACTCATGAAAGAAAAGACATTTCCATTGAGTGCTACGTGGTTGGTAGAGCTACAACTTATTTTCATTATTGATTAGTCTACTTATTTCTTTTTAAATTAAATGATTAATTGTGTAGTCTAAGAAATGTTAAAAAAAAATACATAAAAACAAATGACCATCACAGTTATTTCGAATGTCTCGTTTTGTCCGGCCAACAGCTCAAAACCCAAAGATAATCAACTTACAATTATATAAAACAGAGAAAAGCAGCTAATCCTCTCTGGAAAAGTTGAATATATCTGTTTGTAAAGAATGTCTGAAACAAGTAATAGAGTATCAGAATACTGATCAATCAAGTAATCATTTTAGCTCTAGCTAGTGTGCTTGAAGTGTGTAGTGGTTAAGTGTCAAATTACTATTTATGTTAGTTTCTGTACCATTAACATTAAACGCTGATGGAGGTACTAGTTCAGCTCTCATGAAGCAGTGGATAGACTGGTCACTATGGCTCCCAGTGCTGCTGTTTTTCAGTATTTAATTGACATGGCTGTCCATGATGAGTTCAGGGGTTAGTGTTGCCTCTCTTTGTTACTCTCCTCTCATCTCCAGTGACAGATGGAGGCATTAGTCTCCAATGTGGCGCTGTCCTGAAACTAATGGCTATGTCCTTGGTTTCCCCGCACTAGCCGGGAGACTGTATATCTGTCCCCAGCTTGGAAGTGCCGAAGCAGCAGTTTATCCCCCCATGTTTTAGTTTCCACGGAAATAAGGCCGAACAGGACTCTGTCTGTTCTCTCATAAATAACTTCAAATAAATAACTTCAAAACGAGTGCGAAGTTTTTCCTGAGAAAATGTTGCCGGCCTTTGATTTGTGAGTTTATAGGAAACTCTTCCTCCACTTACCAGAAATGTTCATCTAAGTGAATAATAATAAACATGTAATATATTTTTATAAGTAGTCTGAGCGGGGATGTGCTGATTGTGAGTTTATCTTTGCTTTTGAAGTGAGTTATATTTACATAAATAGACTGGGTTACCTTTTTATCCACTGACATTTCCTCTTTATTCATATTTATATTTCCTGCACTATCAGCGCACTTCAGAAGCAACAGCAAGTATTTTTGCTGTTCCCTGTCCTCTGATATAAACTCACTTGCAATTAGGACAGCTAATATATTATGCAAATGTTGACTGGCTTAATTGAGACATGTTAATCATGTTTTAAGAGGCTAATTACAGCCCTGTATATCTGAGGTGGGAGTAGTAATTAGCCGTGATAACAGATCTGGCTGTAGAATGGTCATATTCTGTGTCGACGTATGGCGAGGGAGTGTGTGTGTGTGTATGTGTGTGTGTGCGTTCGTGTGTGCGCGCATGTGTTTGAGAGGCACAGTCAGGTCGCTAGGTGTAGTCTTGTGTTTGTTTTTGCTTGCTTTTTGGCAGTGAGTGCAGCTATTTTCTGCATTTAAAATTTGCATTTCAGTTGGTGTTGACCTCTTTATGCACATGGATGTAAGTGTGTGTGTCTGTTTGTTTCCTTTTTCTTTTCGTGTTTTACTGTTTTTCCCTCTGCATACATTTTTCACAAGTCACCTTCATGAAAACTGCAGGAAAGACAGCGGATCTAGAGATCTATCAGTTAACCTATCCAAATGAAACATGAACGCATTGCATCTCTATCTATAGTTTCTTTCCTGCACTTCTCAATTTAGTTATCTGATGCAGTAGCACTGGTCATTCTGCACACTGGGCTTTTATACAAGGCTGTGTTCTTAGTTTTCTGACAGAGATCATATTCAGATCCATTACGCTAAGAATGCCTTCCCACTTATCGAATATAAAATTGCTTTAGAGAGGAAATTTGCTCTATGGCAGAGTGGAGTTTCTTTTTTATCAGATGTTTGTCTCTGGAGCAGCTTTTACTGTCTACAAAACAGCTCCGGTGACATTATTGCAGTTGCAATTGCCTCAGCCATTGTTTTTCTTATTGGTGCTGTTTGGATTTGATTGGATTTTCCACAGTCTTATGGAATTGCTTCACGCAGCAGGACCGGTGGATGCGTATATCCTCATATTGTTGGAGTTGAAACACCTGCACATCTTATTACTGATATGTTCATGGGGCTCCAACTGTGTACTCCCAACTACCTCTGAATATTACTACTGTTCATTTTATCATTTTTCATGGGGTTAAATCTGTTTGGGTACATGCACACATCACCTTTTCCCCCCTCTGTGTGACCAAAGAGACATATTCTTTCTTATA